TCTCTAGGTGCTCGATATGGTCCATCATTGATGCCTGGTGGAAACCCAGAAGCATGGCCGTATCTCAAACCAATATTGCAGTCGATTGCTGCCAAAACCGATGGAGAGCCATGCTGTGACTGGGTAAGTGAGAAAAATGCGACCTCCTGGAAAGCTGCTGTGTTATATGAAGTGAAGGTGGTAAACGTAAGAAAAACGTTTCTGCTTGAATGCGCAATTATAGGTGGGGAACGCTGGTGCTGGACATTTCGTAAAAATGGTTCACAATGGAATAGAATACGGAGACATGCAGCTGATTGCCGAGGCCTACGATTTATTGCTTGAGGGAGTAGGGCTCAATTGCGATCAGATGGCGGAGGTAATATTTCAACGTTGAGAATCAAAAACACATAATCCAATCAAAATGGATATATTCGTGTCTTTAACGGTACTATCAAACTTTTTAACTTTTACTATGTACAATTGCGACGAGCATTTTGATGTAGGTCATGGACGAATGGAATCGCGGCGATCTGGATTCGTTCCTCATTGAGATCACAGCGAACATCCTGCGATACAAGGATGAAAAGGGAGAGCATATTCTTCCCAAAATTAGAGACGCTGCTGGACAGGTGAGGTTATTTTCACAGATATAGGAATGCTTTTTAAATGAAACATTTTTTTTCTATTATCTTGTTTCTCACAATAGAGCCAGTAACATTGCAACACCATGCTTGTGCTGTGGTTTTTTTCTGCAGCTCAGATTGCCAGGGTTACTCGTACTTTATTTTGCAGCAAGGCGCTGCTATTTCCTTTTTGCGTTTACCTCTTTCATTCTCAAAAGTGACTATGCCTCAGTTGAAAGCTAGGCATTCGAAGTTCAGGTGCAAGCAGTATCTCCTTGATGCCAAAAGCATTAGCATGAAACAGCTGTATCACAAGCAAAAAAAAAAAAAAGATTTTGAATTCGAAAAGTGAGTGTTTTCCAACACTCTCACTTTCTTCTCCTCAGTAATTTGAGAATATGGGCAGACAATTGCTGAAATTGTGGGTGGAGCTGAAAGAGTGCAATTCAAGTAACACTTTTATTTCGGGGCAATCGGAAGATTTGAAATTGCGTTGAACTCTGGAGTACTGCTTGCAGTGAAAGCAGTTATTCAAAACGGTGATATCATCGCTTTGAAAAGTCTGCTAATCTAAATACTGATTCTGCTGGAGTTCAAGCTAATGAAACGAGAAATCAGTCAAACTTGAAAAGTGTTTTGTGGAACTGCAAAATATAGTTTTTTTCCACCGACTTTGTATCATAAAGTTCTAACAATAGCAGAATTTTAGTAAATTTACCTCTACTTTAACATGGTTAGGTACTAGATAATATGCAGGGGGCAGACTTGGAGATGAATTCTTGAAAGAAGACAGCTTTAGTGAATTGGATCTTCCACTTCACAAGTATTTTTCCACCTCCGTTAAGAAAACATTTATCGGTCTCGTTAAAAGATCTAAAATTGATTTAAAACTTGCTGACAAATAGAAGTTGGTAGAAAATCTTCTCAATACCAAGTAAACCTATTGTAGAGGCATTTTCTTGAGGTGAAGGGAAGAG